GACATGAACAATCATTGACAAGAGGAGACCAGAAGGACTAGATGGTGCACAGTTAACCACTACTAACCACTCTGACCAGGACCACATTAGAACGTACTGGTTAGAATTGACAAATAATGTAGAACAAAATTAAAAAAAAAAAAGAACAGACTTACTGGTCTGAAAGAGACTGGAGGAACCCTCACGACTGTCACTCTAAGACAACCTTCTAACTTGAAACTGAAGACACTTCTGGAGGCCATCTTTCAGCCAATTAATAGTTCTATAAAATGCTCAGTAACAACTGAGAAGAATGTCTCTTTAGAACAATCAACTCTGAGACCAAAAGGGCAACATTTGCCCAAAACCAGAGATAAGAAAGCAGGAAGGGGCAGGAAAACTAGATGAAACAGGAAACCCAGGGTAGAAATGAAAGTGCTGACACCTGGTGAGGATCACAATCAATGTCATGGAACAAAGTGACTATTGAATGAAAAAACAATTTACTATGTTAACTTTCACCTAAAGTACAATAAAATGTTAAAACCCAATGGGTAAATAATAATAATAATAATAAGGATATAGATAGTGATTAATAAAATCCTAAAATATTTAAGAGGAAAAAAACAGGTAGTAAAAGGTATCAGGAGTCCCTGGGTGGTAGAAATGGTTTAACTGCTAACCCACATGTTGGCAGTTTGAATCCACTCTGAGGTGCCCAAGAAGACAGACCTCGCGCTCTGCTTCAGAAGGGTCACGGCCTTGGAAACCCTGTGGAACACAGCTCTGCTTTGCATATGTAGGGTCACCAGCAGTCAGAATTGCTTGATAGCAACTAACAACAACAAAAGATACCAGTCAATCGACAAGTTTTTTTCTGAGTACCTGCTATAAACCAGTGTATGCTTTGGGAACAAAACAGACATAAATTACCACCACTCAAGGATCCTGTGTTTTAGAATCTGTGTTATGAGCTGCATTTATCTAGTTTTATGCAATAGTGGACAATCCTGGGCAAGAATCAGATAAAAGTAGAGTAAAGACAGGTCAATAAGCCTATAATCTTGGTGGTCAAACAGACTTTGGTTTTGATTCTGACTCCAGAAATGTGTGATCTTCTGCACATTACACTCTCTGAAATTTGAATTTATCATCTGCACAATGGAAATAATAACTTACATTGTTATGATTCATTGAGGAATTTAATACATGTAACATGCGTAGCACCTCACGTGGCACGTTTCCACCCTCGTGAACAATGATGACATCTAAACCATTGTATTACTCTGTAATTACACTGGTGTAGGGGTGAGGTTGTGAGGTCAAGGTCTGTGATGAGGAAACTGGAATGGTTCCCAGGTGTGTCTCTAGCAAATATGCAGATACTGTAACCCATTTCTATTTTAGTACTTTTGGGGTGTAGAATGAGGGAAGGTATGTATGAAACAGGAAAGTGAGGAGATATTACAAAGAATCTGGAGCTCTCTGATGGGCAGGAGCAAAATTAAAGGCCAGTAAGGAAGACCGGTCCACCATCTATCTCTTAGTTTTTTGTACTCTGGTGGTTTGCATGCTGCTGTGATGCTGGTAGCTATGCCACTGGTATTTCACATACAAGCAGGGGCACCCGTGGTAAAGAGATTTCAGTGGCACTTTCAGACTAAGATAGCCCGGGAAGAAATCTGCTTCTGAAAATTAGCCAATGAAAACTCTAGATTACAACAGAACACTGTACAGTCCCGTGCTGGAAGATGAATGAGCCCCTTGGTTCACAGGCACTACATAGTAGCTGCAACAGTGGACTCAACCATGCCAGTGGCCACAAAGGTGGCACAGAACGGGGCCACGCTTCAGCCTGTTGTATGCGGCAGGGTCATCATGAGCTGGAGTCTACTCTATAGCAACTGACAATAACAAGGAAAAACAGAGTGCTTTCACATCTTTCTTATACTTGCATGACCCACCCAAAGGAGATTTTTTTTTAAATGTAATTAGCACACAAAAACTTTTTATTGTTTTTAACACTACATTCTTTTACCCCTTACCGATCCTCTCCATTTTCATTTGATTATTGTTCCTCTAACAGTTTTAAAATGAAGATATTTTATGATCTGCATTGAAATTACAAGTTGAGAAAGCATTAAGATCGAAGAAATAGCTGCATTCAAGGAAGTATTAATACTTATGTATTGTTTCATACTGTTTTATTGAAGCTTGTAGATTTTCAGTGGAAGCTGGGTATGGCTGTGAGCTCGCACAGTTGCAGATCTCTCAAGTATCCTTATGTTGCAGTGATGCTAAAAGTGGCAGATCATTCGGGCCAAATAAAGAACAAGTCCTTTGAGATGACTATACCACAGTTCCAGGTTTGTGATTTAATTTCTTAAATTTAAATTCATTTTTCTATAATTGTTGCTTTGTGAGATGTATAAAATCTTTCTCAAAGGAAGATTTTAATTGTTTTTATTTGCAAGTTGATATGTTTTATAGTTATCAGCACACACCAAATAAACTGATTTTTTTTCCTGAGGGAATTTGAGAAATGATTTTTTAGTGTTTTCAGTGTGAAGTGCTGAGTTTGTGTACGGACATACTTCTTGTTGTGTGCCATCAAGTCGGCCCCGACTCATAGCGACCCCTTCTTGGGTTGCAGAGTCAGCATCACTACAGAAGTGGGTTGCCCAACCTTCCTTTCGAGGAGTGTCTGGTGGGTTTGAACCGCCACCCTTTCTGGTTAGCAGTCAAGTGCCTTACGCACTATGCTACCAGAGCTCCTACTGACATACTTAGTCACTTTAATAGCTCTCCTGTTTGAACATATTTAGCAGATTTTCATCTCTGGCAGGATGTTTATTTTGCATTTAACTGAGGCTTACTATTCAAGAATGTTAATTAAATTAATCTTATTTTTTAATAGAATTCCTCTGAATTTTCTGACTAACCATATTTACTAACTGCAGATGGGAGCACAAGTACTTCATGACTAATTTTATTAGCTACAGACTTTAGTAACTAAATAGTTTATATTTAGTACCATGCTATTATCATCCTGACTGTTCGCTATGATGCCAGAAGCTATGCCACCAGTATTTCAAATACTAGCAGGGTCATCCATGAAGGAGAGGTTTCAGCAGCCCTTCCAGACAAAGTCAGACTAGGAAAAAAGGCCTAGTGATCAACTTGAAAAATTAACCAGTGATAACTTTATGGATCACAACAGAGTACTGTTAGATACAGTGCTGGAGGAGGAGCCCCCTGGGTTAGAACCACTTTGCAGTAACTGTGACAATGGACTCAAACATACTAACAATCATGAAGATGGTGCAGAACCTGGCAACATTGTGTTCTGTTTTACATAAAATAGCCATGCATTGGAGTAGACTTGATAGCGACTAAGAGCATTATTGTTACACCTCTTTTTTATAACTAAAGGAAAGAAAAGGAGGGTAATAAATATCCTTTTGAATGAACATACAGGAAAATGTCTAGTCATAGACTAATTTAATTGGCTTGTAGAATTTTGTTTTAGTACATTTAGTGAGTGAATCCCCAGCAACTGTATGAATAAAATAAATATATAGGGAGACATATTTGTAAAACTAAAAATATATTGGTCCTAGGTTTCCTTTTAAAGAAAAGGCCCTTATATACCACTCTGTGGTGCTTTTTAGGAGATTATTTCCATCTGATTTCTTTCTTTCTTTTTTTAAAGTGTCTACTGTAGAACAAAATAACGGTCACAAATTTGACATTGTTAGTGCCGCTTAGTGTCTTGGAAAGAATTAAGCCTTGATTAAGAGAAAAGAAACGCAGGTAGTGGTATGCAGTAGCTTTAACTCTGAATGTAAGGATCAAATCAATTAGAAGACAATATAGGTTTCGGTCTTGGTGCATTTCACGGTGCTGGCTTAATTCTTATTTTCTGTGCAGAATTTATACTTTCTGATTCTACTTCTAGAAATTTTTTTCTCATAGGAGAAAAAGAAATCACAATTTGGAGCAACTCTTTTAAAAGATACCTTGTACATGGCTTAAAGCTAACCAGGCAAACTGAGCCTTTTAGACATGTTACAGGATTGAGAGCTAAGGAAAATTCTTTGAGCTCTTAATTTATTGCTAGCTGGAATTTTGGCCATCAGGATATATTTTGCTAGAAATAGTTATACTTTGCTTCATTCGACAAAGAATGTAAATAAATGTTAAAATATATATACTCTTAAGCAAATGGGAGCTCTGGTGGCATAGTGCCTAAGGCATTTTGACTGCTAACCAAAGGGCTGGCAGTTCAAATCCACCAGCCACTCCTTGGAAGGAAGATTGGGCAATATACTTCTGTAGAGATAACCACCTGGGAAACCCAAGGAGCAGTCACTGTGAGTCAAATCGACTTGATGGCAGTGAGTTTGGTTTGGTTTTAAGAAGCAAAATAGAAAATTAAGATCACAGGCCTCTCCTGGGCCATGTGGGCTGGACAGCCATTTTGAGAAGAGCTTTGTTAGGGTTCCCATCTCTGCTGGATTAGGAGGCTGGGGATGCGCCCTCGGACACTGCAGCTCTGCCCCAGCTGTAGCCCCACCACTGTCGGAGTGAAGATTTCTATGACCTTTTAAATGAGTAGTGACAAATGGATCCAAAATAAGTGACTTCTCTACTGAAGCTATAGAAGATTCTTCATATCACCTTCCAGTAGCTCAATTCAGTCTTCAAAAGGGGGCAGAAAACATGAAATTCAGAAAACTGAAAAGAAGAAATTCTCACTTTGTAACTGTCTCCTTCTTGACTGCCCCTACACCTGTCTGTCTGTTTTATTTTGCTCTGTATTTATAAATCGTGAAGACCAAAGAAATAGAAGGTGCATTTAGGAGCTTTATATCAAGAAATTTGTCTTGAAAGCTGCTATTCTGTGGAGGAAAAAAGTATATCAAATTCCTGTCTGAATTTTTTTTTTTTTTTGAAACCAGATTTCTTATATGTTTAGATTTTTAAGAATAAGACAGATATAAATACCTAACTGCACACTGCTTTTAGCAACTGTGTGAGAAAGAATGAGATTTGTATTTTAAGGGCTTTGTCATGTGGGTATTTTGCCACTGGAGTTGACTGCTCAGGAGATCTTTTATAACATTTTAAAAGTATATTTTTGGGCTGTCACCTTGATGACATCACTTGCCCACACATGAGCGCACCTATCTTTCTGTTAGAACAGAACAGTCATTGCATCACTGTGCAGATGTCCATATATTATCTATTTAAGCAGCATCATAGTGCTATCATTCAAGGAAGTTGAATGAGGTGAATATAGACATAGCTCTTTCCCCTTCCCCCCTTTTAAAAAATGTTACAAATACCTTTTTATGTCATCCTTTCCTCTTCTCCTTCCCCTCTCCCTCCCCTATGTGGGAAAGTGTCAGAAACTGGTAGTTTAAAATGAGCAGTTGGGGGATTGAGAGAGTGGTCCACACAGAGCCTGGCTTCTTTGTGCTCAATCACAAGGTGTGCTGCCAGCCAGGCTGCTTAGGCACCCTTTTACCAAAAGAACCATGTGGGAGGTCCAGCTGGCCGACTCAAGGAGTTCAGGAAACAGAACCACAGAGGTTACGCTCTGGGATGCTGGCCATGAGGTTGGATGCTTCACCTTGCTGTGAAGAGACACTGGACCTAAATAATGCAATATGACTTTGTTACTGCTTAGCTAACCAAAGTCAACACCACAGTCAGCTAAGTCACCTGCAGTTACCTTTGACAAACATGGAGAGCACCTATCCTGAAGGGAAGGTAGATTTGAAGTGAGCTGTTGTTGACATAATTCCTCTGATGGCTTTTTAAACAACAGACTCCTTCAAACTACAAGAGATTCCTGGCATCAGCTCTCCTTATTCTGCTACGATTCTGTGGACTGTGGTTTCTTTAAGGGAGGAGCATACGATGGAGTCATGGGGAACCTATCTGGTTTCATGGCTCTTCCTGGGGTCTTGATGGCATGAGCCAGCATAGCAGGGGTAGCACAGGGAACCATCGCCACTGTAATGGCAGCTTCTACTCCTGGAAAGGCTCTTGCCTTTCAAGAAAAGCCACCTACAGAGATTAGGGAAGAAAAAAAAGAAGACAAGGCAGAAAAGTTGCAATTTGAAGAGGAAGACTTCCTGTCTTTGAATCAAGAAGCTGGCAAACAGAATCAGCCATGCAGACCTGTTGGGATCCCTTCTGGAGTGTGAGAAGACCCACCTGGTGTCAAGCAACCCTCCAAGATGCTGGTCATCAAAAAAGTTCCTAAAGAAAATCCTGTTGCTGCCTTCTCTGCTGCATTCCCTTCACCGGGATCTCACCATGCAGATAGGAACAAATCATCAACCATGGTCATCCCAAGTGTCTATAGGAACCTAGTTCCTAAGCCTGCACCACCTCCTTCCAAGCCCAGTGCATGGAAAGCTAACAGAATGGAACACAAATCAGAATCCTTTCTTCTAGTCAGGAGTCGCTTTTACCAGTCCAATTTCTGTTACTGTTACAGTGGTACTGGCTGGTGGCTCAATCCTAAGCTCAGTCCTAAGAGAGTCCCTCTAGCACCATCCCTCCGATTGAGATCAGTTCCTCTTGTCTGACCAAGTTGACTGCAAAGTACCAACAGGAAGAGTGTGTTCTTGAAGACTCTGAAGTATGACAGGAATGGAGAATTCACAGGGAACAGAGACTGTGACAAACTAGAGGATCAGTTGGAGAACAGCACACCTGAACTAAAAGAAAATGGAGAGGAAAACTTAACCAGAATGGCCTTGTTCTCCCTGTAGTGGAGGAATGACAGGTCATCTCGCACTCTTTGGAAGCTGAGCACAGGTTATTGAAAGCAATGGGATGGCAGGAATATCCTGAAAGTGATGAGAATTGCCTTCCCCTCAAAGGGGATGAGCTCAAAGAGTTCACGTGAAGACAGATCAGCTAAGAAGAAATGACTTTGCGAAGAATGGCATCTTACAGAGCTGCAGTTCCAGACTGTTCTCTCATTGGAGAAGCACTCGTAAAGCAGAATTTGAGGACTCAGACAAAGAATCCAGTAGCAGTGAAACATTAGATGACAGTGCCTGGAAATAGGCATATAAATATTCACAGTTAAATCTGACCCAGTAAACTCCACCTGTGTATTAGGGAGTACACAAAAGAAATTGTTCTTTTCCTTTTCTTACATTGTTGTTGAATCCTTCATGCACAAGGGAAATAATCATATCCCAAAGAGAGAGCGATTGGCTTGTTCAGCTTTTGTTGTTATTGTTCTACCTTGTTTTCTGTTCAATAGAGAGTAGTTTTGTGGTGGGAAAGATTTTTAAATATTTGTTGTTGTTATGTGCCATTGAGTTGTCTCTGACTCAAAGCGACCTTATTTATGTACAACAGATGGAAACACTGCCTGGTCCTGTGCCAGCCTCACGATCCCTACTATACCTGAGCCCATCGCTGTAGCCACAGTGTCAGTCCATCTTGTTGAGGGTCTTCCCCTTTTTCATATACCTCCTGTTTTACCAAGCATGACATCCTTCTCTAGAGAATGGTCCCTTCTGACAACGTGACCAAAGTAGGTGAGATGAAGTCTGGCCATTCTTGCTTCCAAGGAGCATTCAGGCTGCATTTCTTCCAGGACAGATTTGTTAGTTCTTTTAGCAGTTCATGGTACATTGCGCATTCTTTGCCAAAACCACAACTCAGAAGAATCACCTCTTCTTTTGTCTTCCTTGTTCATTGTCCAGCTCTCACATGCATATGAGGCAATTGAAAATACCATGACTTGTGTCAAGTGCACCTTAGTCTTTAAGGAAACATCTTTGCTCTTTAGCACTTGAAAGAGGTCCTTTGCAGCAGATTTGCCCAATGCTATACATCTGATATCTCCCCCCCCCC